GTGATGTGTGTGTGTGTGTGTGTGTGTGTGTGTGTGTGTGTGTGTGTGTGTGGTGTGTGTGTGTGTGTGTGTGTGTGAGTGTGTGTGTGTGTGATAATGCGTGTGTAGTGGAATGGGCATTGCCCAATGCATGAATTCGTCTGCAGAATAGCTGATTTCACGTTTATTCCGGTAATCCTGAAATCTGGTCATCAATTGCGCGCTGCCACAGTTTTATCTTTTGGAATTACCCTTTTATTGGGTGTGTATATATTTCAACAAAAGAAATTGAAAATACACACTTACTGTGTATATATCAAAAGAACGACCCTGAAGGTCGTTGCTGTATATTATATGTCTTAAAATTGATATAGAAGGAGAATTAACGCACTTCAGTAACATATGGCTGAGCGCCAAATTGACGCCATCTCGCCCGTAGGATTTTGTGACGAGTCAATTCGGTCGATAATTAATTCAGTGCTTCTTTACTGCAAGTATTAAAAAAAAATAATTTTGATTCTATATTTAGGACTAGGCGATATGTCCAATACATCTTTTTTATTAATGGTAACAAATTACCTTTACGATGGGTATTTTTCTGTTGAGATTGTGTATCTGCTAGAATTGGGGATAGTTCCCTTGAAAATTAAGTAAATACTCGAAGATTGGACAATCTTACTACAGCTATAGATCCTTATATTTTATATCTTCTGAGTGCAAGTATTTTTCTTTGAGATGGATTTTGAGAAGCTAGAGTTAAAACAAGCCCAAGGCACCTTAAAAAACAAGCGGAAGACATAACATATTATGTCAATTTACAGTGGAGTCAGTCGCCCGTCAATTTTTGGGCATGCAGAGTTATTGATAATTGATATCATCTTAATGCTTGTTCAGTTGTCTTGATTTTGATGTTAGAATACCCATCAGTCTTGAAATATAAGCCAAGATATTATTTACGATTAGGGGAGGTGGGAGTCGCCTGGTTTCAGAGGTAAGATTAACGAGAAAATGGCTGCCAAATTTCGGTGACTTCTCTAGCTTGTGCATCCTTGGGAACGGAAAATTTAAATTGTTTGTGCCTTAAATCGATGGTTTTTTTGTAAAATATACACAGAAATGTATTTTCAAATGGGCACAAAAATTTGCAGAGCACCCCCCCCCCTCCCCACAATAATAGAAAAACACAAAAAAGACTTTTCAAACTGCATTTTAAAGAATCGATAAAAATTGCCAAGCGGGCGGAAAATGTCGGTCTTTTTGATTTCATTATTTTGACGGGAGCTTGATTTCACCACGATGCCTCACATAATATTATTATGGTTTTGGGCGAATAACGATTTCGGCCGGACGGGCAATTTCGATGGGCTGCAAGCCATTTCGCATGGTCCAAGGTTGCCCATGCCACTCCTTAATGAATACGTTGTACGTTTTCTACTTTTACTTTACCAAGAAACAATCAAAAACACAAACAAACAAACAAAGAAATAACTCTGAGGATTCCTCCTCCTTTCTATGGGTCCGATCTTTCACTGAGTGTTACTACTGTATTACATGGATAGTATATACGTAAATCGTATCGCTGAGCGCAAAATATGCCATCTTTCCCCTCGGGTTTTTGGACAATGATTTTTTCTTGATAAAATAAATTTAGAAAATGAATAACTAGAATGAAAACATGCGCATCTCAGCTTGAAATTGCACAAAAAAAACACCCCAAACATTTCTTTTTAAAAATCAGGAAACCATGCTTTCGATCAATAGTCGGTCGTACGTACAACGTCTATGCGATGTAACCTGTTTGGTCGGGTTCGAGACTGCTCACGTAAGTAAATCATATGACGTATTGTTCGCACAATGAAGGGATCTACTTAATCTAGCAATTTTTCGCTTTCGCAGAGTTCAAACAAAATTGGGTTTTCTTGGTTAAAATCCGGAGGAGGCTTTGGAAATTTTAAATTGCATTCATTTTGTGAACTTACCTTTGATACTGAGACAACATTGCAGCAGGCCATTTACATACATGTCAACTTGAACTTTCAACTGTGAGTAAGCATACATACAGCCCAACAAAATCCCATAAGCATTATAAGAAATCCGAAGAAACGCTTGACAATTTCAGAAGAAATAAACAATTTAATATCAGCTTTGAGATTTCAAAGCATTCTCAACAAATAACTCAGAGAAGAAGGCAACAGGATATGGGAGAATCATAACTTGCAAACTTGAAGATTATGTGACGTAAGGATATTGTGACATGAATACTATGTGACGATGCAGCGTAAAGATAATGAGACGAGAAGAAAATGTGACGTGAAAATAATTCATTATGAAGATAATGTTTCCTTAAGACAACGCGACTTGAAGATAATGTCATGTAATTATAATGTGACGTGAAGATAATGTGACGTGATGACAATGTGACGTGAATACGATGTATAATGAAGATAATTTGATGTGAAGACAATGTGAGTGAATATAATGTCTTATGAAAATATCTTAAGAAGGTAATTTGAGTTGAAGATAATTTCTCATAAAAATAATGTGACGAGAAGATAATGTTTTGTGAAAATAATTGAATTACAGAATATATCTTGTTATTTATGAAATAATCATTTTGCGTACATTTTGTGTACATTTTGCTTGATTATCATTGGTTAAGTGAAACTGTGCACTACACCACTGACGTAATAAGCCATGCATGAGGCGGTTTGTGTCAATCTTTCCTACCAGACCCACAAGGTGAGACTAATTAATTGTGCGCGTACATAAGCAAACATGCACATGCTCGAGAACAAAGCGTTCCCTCGCGTAAATGTAACCCACGTCTTTTGAGCGCTTTTCGAAACGTCTGACAGTTACAACAAATAAAC